TTAAATGATAGCAAAGTAGCGCTTTAATTTTTGAAATGAGAAATAAATAAGTATTCTATCTGATACTTCAGTAAAAAGTATAAACATATATATTATGTATATGTTATGTAATATACTACTCTATAGCATAAATTATAAAATAAAGCCTCTTACCGAAAATAGTGATCTTAGATTAGTTTTAAGTACAAATATGTAAAAATTAAAATAATTGTCAAGTTATCTGCTAAGTTATAAAACATAAACGATGCACTAAATTACAAAACAAACTTTTACTATAAATAAATAAATATTACTATTAGGGTTTCACCACACACCATGGCTCATACACTATTCGCAATACAGTGTATGATCCATGACATGGGCAATACAGTGTATGATTGATGACATGGGCAATACAGTGTATGATCCATGACATGTGCTCATAAACCATACACAATAAGAGTCATCTTATACTGTATGTATGTCCCATACATAATTGCTTAACTAAATTAATTTATTTTGTTCATTGTTTTATGTTAGGAGTTGCATAACAGCTTAACATAAAATAATGAACCTATTCAATAGGTTCAATAATTGTATAATGAGATCCCATAAAATAAAATGATATGAAATAAAGCTTTTACAAACTTATACAAACATGCAATTAACTAGTTACTGAACTTTAAATTTTTGTTTTTAGTTTAATTTTAACATATATTTTATTTTAAAAATGCATACCGACAGCATTTGAACAGTTTCCATAGCTCCCTCTAACAAAGATAATATGGGAGCTGAATGATTATCTTTTTGGAGTGTTAGACTAGCAAGTTGAAACTAAATTTAGATGCATTAAAAGTTACTTGTTATCCTAGCAATAAAATAACAATAGTACTCATAAATTAATTTTACTAATATTAGTAAATTATTTACTAGGGGGTCATCCATAAAACATGTCACACAATTTTTTGACCCATTACCCCACCCCACCCCCATCATAACTCATTGTAACATTTTATTATCCCCCCCCCCCCTATTACAACGCAATAAATTTTTAAATCCCCACCCTTAAAAAAATTTTTAAATGATTTTAAATATGTTAATGCTTATAATTTGCTTAGCTTCTTTGAGTTAATTAATAATACTTTTCAGTCTGTTTAATGTTTTTTTTCAACCGAATAGTTCCGTGTAAAATTGTATAAATTAACATTGCTATCCTAAACATCATTCCAATTTTATATAGCTATTTTTCAAATATAAGCTTGCAAAACTATTATTTTATAAATATAATTTTCTCACTTCTAGTCATGTTAGCTTGGCTGAGTGGATTCTGCTTCCGGCTAATGAACCAAGGGTTCCAGGTTTGTTTCTCAGGGACAAAATTTTTTCCTTTTTTTTCAGTTAGTGTACAAAAGTTGTTTTTTTTTTTGTTGCTGCACACTTTTGTGCACCATCTAAATGAAGTTCTGCACTTGGAACATATAAAATCAAATTGCAGAATGTGCACTGCACATAGACTGTTACAGCTGTACTCACCAATTAAGTGAGATTTAGGCCCTGTTGAGTTTACAATCAACATATAAATCAACTGAAGGTTGTGGTTTGGTCAGATTTTGGTCAGAAGTCTTCTCTAGATTTAAAACTGAAAAAAAAAGTTGCATCACAAAATTGGAGACAACCTCCCCCTTGTAACAAATCGTCACAAAATTCCCTCCCCCTCCCTAAAGTGTGAATTAATTTATGGACAACCCCTAATGCTAGTAAAATTATTTTTTAATTATACTAGTATTGATGTATAAAATATTTAAAATTTTGTATTTGTAAATAAATCATTATTTGCAAAGATATTATGTTGCTGTAAAACATTTAAAGCTTTTAAAAAACATACTTTAACATAGCACAGAGCATAAACAAACCTTTGTTTCATCTGATAGAATCTTTTTCCATACAAGCTATAATTTTAAAATAAAATATCATTATTATGATTATATTTAAAAAAATAGAAAACTTGAGATTGTAAGAATAGACATATTGAAAAGACAACTTTGGCATTAATAACATAATTTTTTTTTTTTTTTTTTTTGTAAATCTATAAAATATATTTTTTGTCTGATTCATAACAAAATTATAATAACAACTAAATAAATGTAAAAGTTTTTTTTCGTTTTTTCAACAGAACTGCTTTTGTTTTATAGTACATATATTTACTAAACAATTTGCTGGATAATTTTTTCCCCTAAAACTAAAATTTAATTCAATTAGTTTAATTTTTTTAAATTTTAGCAATATACCTTATTAATTTAAAATACATTGGTATTACTTTTAACAAATAGTTTTAATTAACCACAGATTACTACATCAACAATTCATTTATTTTTTTAAATTTAACATTATTACTTTTTATAATTATTAATACAATCTTTCTTCATCTACCAGATAGATTACTGCATCAAATGTGTTTAGTAATGTTATTAATCAAGTCGCTGTTTAATTATTGGTTATTCAATTATTGACTTGATAACTG